ATGGATCCACAAAAAAATAATGAGATAGATCTATATATATTGGCATGTGTGATACTGTGATTTATAATAAGAAATATATATTTGCCTTTGTCCCCACTTCTGGCATACAGCTCCTAAAAACCCTTGGAATTTCCCAAGTGAAGAAAAGCTAAAGGTGTCATTTGTTATGTTGATAAAGTGACTTTTGGATCCAAGTTAGGATGGGGGCTGGTTGCCAGGGAAAACCAACCGTGTGATTAGAGGGTTAGGAACTTTCCGTCCCACCGCCCAGGCCTCCAGGGTGGGGAGGGGGGACTGGAGGTTGAATCTGGCACCCTTGGCCAATGATTAAATCAACCATGCCTATGTAATGAAGCCTCCATAAAAACCCAAAGGACAGGGTTCAGAGACTTCCAGATGGGGATACAAGAACAATTCCCCATGCCATCATGCCAGGCCCTAAGCCCCACGAGGACAGAAGCCTCTCTGTTCAGGACCTCTCTCTCTCTCCCTTTTATCTCTCCATCTGGCTGCTGATTCGTATCCTTTAATGTAACCTCTGTAATAAACCAGTAATCTAGTGGGTAGTTTCCTGAGTTCTGTGAGCTGCACCAGCAAATTAATTGAACCCAAGGAGGGGGTTGTGGGAAGCTCCCAACGGCAGTCGGTCAGTCAGAAGAGCAGGTAACAACCTGGATTTGGGATTGTCTGCGGTGGGGACAGTCCTGTGGGTCTGAGCCCTTAACCTGTGAGAACGGATGCTACCTCTGGGTAGACAAGTATCAGAATTGAGTTGAATTCTCCAACCTAGCTGGTGTCAGAGAATTATTTGATGATGTAGAAAAACCCCACAATGAAATTTTTATTAAAACTTTTAGCATGGAAAGATGTCTATGATATACTGCCAAGTGAAAGAAAAAGCACATTGCACTACAGCATTTATAATATGTTTCCATGTTTATAAATATATATGTGCATATATTTATACGTAGATAGATGAAGAAACCCTATGGGTAGACATCCTCAATAGTAACTGCCTCTGGAAAATAAGCCATTGATTATTTTAACATATATCATTGTTAGGTGATCAATTATGTTTATTAGTTACAAAGGGCTACAGCTAATGCCAGAACCCACCTCCTGAGTCACAGGCTCGTGTTCTCTGTACCCGGGTATCCTCTTTGGTGGTGAAGCCCTTCCCTGCTCCTCATCTATGGATGGGTAGGATATTTGGAAGGAGGGAGAAAAGAACATCCTCATCCCTATCCACTTACCCCTGGCTTCCTAAAACATGCTGACAGATCCTGCAGCCTCTGGACAAGGGACTCAGCATCCCCTCTCTCCACACCTCCCTATCCAGTGGCCTGTGGCTATTTCAGTGTTAGCGGGCAGGGTGGGAGGCATGGCCAGATGCTGCCCACTGCCCAGCCTGGGGGTCCTGGTACCCTGTTGGGAAGCTCTGCACTGGGCCAACATGCCCAGTTAAAGTAACTGGACAACATGGCATGAAATGGCCCTAGGATCCCCGGCATCAGGCAGATCTGGGTTCAAATCCCTGGTTGGGCCCTACTGGCAGTGTGGCCTTGTGTGAGTCATGTTCTCCCAGCCCTGGTTTCCTCATCTGTACAATGGAGATAATGTCCTCTGTGTGACAGAGCAGGTGTGAGGACTACATGGCAACAAAAGGTGCTTAGCGTGGTGCCTGGCACATGGTATGTGCCCAATAAACTACAGCTACTACTTAGTTTCAGACATCCTTCTCTGCTCTAAAACTAAGTTCCAGGGGTATCCTAAGGTCATAAGCATGTGGTGTGGCCAAGATGAGATGCTTAAGACTGTCCTTAAAACCCAATCCTAATATAGTTAAGGTTTGTCATTACAATCTAAACTTAAAATACTAGATTAAAAGTCAGAAAAAAAAAATATAACTTATCTGGTCCCTACCCACCTCCCACCTCTCTCAGGCTTTGTTTTTTCCTAGTGCCCTCTTTTTTTTTTTTTTTTTTTTTTTAATGTTTATTTGTTTTTCAGAGGCGGGGAGGGCAGAGAAAGAGGGCAACAGAGGATCTGAAGCGGGCTCTGCACTGACAGCAAGCAATGAGGGACTCAAACTCACAAACCGCAAGATCATGACCTGAGCCAAAGTCAGACGCTCGAAGGACTGAGCCACCCAAGCGCCCTTCCCAGTGTCCTCTTAATGAAAGAAAAACTTCAGTTCCAGGAATAAGTGTGCTTCTAAGAACCTTCTTAATCTTAAAGACACAATAAACAATATAATGATCCTATTTCCTTCATTGTTGTGGCTTCTAGGAAGCTCAGAACCATAGTTCTATTTATTTAGGAACATTTTTGAGGTTATTATTCACATTGCATAATGTATTAGGGAAGGGCCCAGTGTTTCCTGAACAACTAGCTTGTCTTTTTTCTTATAGACACTATGAACTATTTAACAGATCCTATTTTCCTCTTTGCTTTGTCTCTAAGAAATCTCTAGCAAGTATAGGACTTAGAGTATTTTGCTTACTGCATTTTGTGGCTTAACTTTTTCTCTCCTTTTAATTTTTCCCCAACCCAATTACCACGTTTACCTAAAAATGTTATACAAGTTTCTGTAAGCTACTGAAAATGGCTCTTGGAATGAGGTAGGGAATAAACAGGTAAGCAAAGAAAAGTAAATAATCTGTTTCCTTTGACAGGTCAACCTCGTCCATCATTTTCTTTAAAATATCAACAAGAAGTGATAAAGTCATTTAAAGAATACTTAGATGGGGCACCTGGGTGGCTCAGTTGGTTAAGCATCCGACTTCATTTCAGGTCACGCTCTTACAATTTGTGAGTTCAAGCCCCACATCGGGCTCTGTGCTGACGTTCAAAGCCTGGAGCCTGTTTGCGATTCACGGCTCCCTCTCTCTCTCTGCCCCTCCCCCACTCATACTCTGACTCTCTCTCAAAATAAATAAACATAAGAAAAAAATTAAAGAATACTTACATATATATAAAGAATACACACACAAATATAATCTGATGTTTCATACACATATATGTAAATATATGTAAATACACCCCCAACACACACACACACACACACACACACACACACACACACACACACACTGTAACCTGATAGTATAGGAACAATTTCTATGGTTTTTTCTTCCTACATACTAGATTTCCAAATAAAATATCACCATTCAACTACAAAGCACATTTGAAAACAATTACTGAGTATATACATAGCTAAAAACACACTATTAATTGAGAAGGGATTTTTGACCACATCTCAAAAATGACTTAGGCATCTTGTTTGGAATTATATTGGCTGCAATTCTTGTCACACACATTTAAAAATAATTCCTGCAACTGTCCCAGTGGATAGAGACTTAAGGATAACTTCACACCATTTCTGTCCTAGAAGAAAATCCTGTTTGGGAGGGCCTCTGACTCAGTGTAACATGAGATGAGCTATATATGACCACAACTCTACGCTGACAGCGGACACTATTCTCCCTCAGACCTCCTGTCTGCATCAAGGTTGTTCCAAGAAATGAACTTGGCAAAATTTATTCATAATATAAATACCAGAACATAATATGGATAATATGGCATGCACTCAAAAAAGATATTACATATGTTTATTGGATTTGTACATAGATCAGTTTGTGGGTTTTTTAGATAAAGTTGAAGAACTGTTTTTATTTGCAGTCATTCCATTTTTTTTCTTTACTGCAAGTCTAAAGGAGAACTAGCATGTATCTAACATAAATTGCTTCATCAGATGTCTTTGGGGTCTAATGATAGTGTCACCTTGGTTGGGGGGATTTATTATCCAAACTGCCACACTACCCTAATTCATAAGGTTTAAAACAGGAAGTAACTCTATAGTGCCTGAGTGTAAGAAATGATTCAGCTTGGGGCGTCTGGGTGGCTCAGTCGGCTAAGCGTCAGACTTCGTCTTGGGTCATGATCTCATGGCTCGTTGGTTCTAGTCCCACATCCGGCTCTGTGCTGATAGCTTGGAGTCTGGAGCCTGCTTCAGATTCTGTATCTCCCTCTCTCTCTGCACCTTCCCTACTTGCACTCTCTCTCTCTCTCTCTCTCTCTCTCTCTCTCAAAAAAAACAACAAAACATTAAAAAAAATTAAAACAAACAAAAAGAAACGATCCCACTCAGGGACACCTGGAGGAAACAAGGAGTTCTACTTCCCCTGGTGAGCAGTCTGTGTGCTGCTCCTAGCAATTCAGCCCTGACTTAGAGGCTTCAGTCAACACAAACAGCAGGAACCCAAAGCCCAGAAAGTCCAGGTCATGAGAAATAAGATAAGCAGGATGTCACGTTCAGGAGGATTCCTGAGGGAATTTGGCTCTGACAGTAGAATCCAAGGGAGCGTCTTAACTCTCTGTGTCTTTCCTCAGATATGTGTCAGAAAAGTGGACAGAAAAAGGGAACGCTTGGGCCCCGGCCCTAGGCCCTCCTTTGGCAGTGTGCCCTTGGACAAGTCTCGACTTTCTTGGGCGTCTACTAATTCATTTGTAAAATGAAGCCCAGAGCTCTGTCCACCCTGTATGTGTAGACTGCATGCTCTATGCCAGGCTCTGTGCTAGGCTGGAGGCACCAGGAGTAAGAGAAAGAGTCCCCTCCAGGGAACCCTATGGCACTTAGAGTCTAGTGGAGTAAACCAACAGAATTGTTTAAAAGCACACAGATATTTTAATTATACTAAAATTGTGACAGTAACCAGCCTTTATGGGAATGATATGCCAGGACTTATTCTAAAAATCAAGTCCTGTAACCTTTTAACAGCCATATGAGACAGGTACTGTCATTAGTCCCATTTTGTACATGGGAAAACTGAGGCTTAAGGAAGTTAACTAGATCAGGATCACACAGAGAAAAGTAAAAGGACTCTCTGAACAGGTCTGGCCAATTCCAAAAGCCAGTCCTTTACCCATTGCACTGTACTGACTTCCTTCTTAGCTAACCACAGTTCTGGAGACAGCGTTTAGAACTGGCTTTTTTTTTTACCTAAGCGCCATTTCACAGTCTAATTGTAAGTGGAAAATTTACCCATGAATTCCCACTGGAGCATTTACTGAACCCCATCTTGCCTGGAAAGGACTGCTCCTTCTGGAGCCCTGGAAAGGCCACAAGGGACACGAGCAGCAGGTGGCTGAGATGGGCGGGTGGTGGTGATGGTAATGCTTTCACTCTGCCCCTCCACTGCTGGCTGGGTTACACACATCAAATCCCGTCTGCTCTCTCTGCTACACAGCAAGCTAAATCAATCTGTCAACCAACAGCAAATCAACTCAAAAGAATAAGAAACAACAGAACTAAATAGGCACGCTGCACTTTCCCTGACCTTTAAACTGATTACAGCCTTGATTGTCTTCCAATTTTGAAGTGAAATGAAACGGCAGTTGTGCACAGAAGAGAGGCCTGGGCTGATCCTGCCAGTTTACAGCTCAAGCTGCTTCTTAGCAAGGGTTAAATGGTAGCAAATCTTTAAAACCGCCAATTTGATGAGCTCTTACTCTGCACCAGGCACTGTCTGTATGCTGGCTCATTTAAGCCTCAGGACTCTACCCATTCATTCATTTATTCACTCACTTACTCATTCAACCAATACTTATTTGGCACTCACTTTATGCCAGGTGCTGTACTAGGTTAGGTCTTTGTCCTCATGAAGCTTATACTTTAACAAGGAAGACAGGTAACTGCCAAGTAAACAAATAACAGATGGACTTCTCTTGCCCGGGGCTCAGGGCATGCAGGCTTAGAGGACTTCACATTTTTAAATTATTACTTTAGAGAGAGACAGAGAGAGAGAGAGCAAGCTGAGGAGAGGGGGCAGAGGGAGGGGGAGAGAGAGAGAGAGAGAGGGAGAAAGAGAATCTCAAGCAGGTTCCACTGTAGGTGCTGAGCCCGATGTGGGGCTTGATCCCACAATCCTGGGATCATGACCTGAGTGGAAATCAAGAGTCGGACACCCAACCAACTAAGCCACCCAGGTGCCCTGAGGACTCCCCATTAAAATTTTTTTGTAACGTTTATTTAATTTTGAGAGAGAGTCACAGAGCAGGAGTTGGGGAGGAGCAGAGAGAGAGGGAGACACAGAATCTGAAGTGGGCTGCAGGCTCTGAGCTGTCAGCACAGAGCCCGATGTGGGGCTTGAACCCACGAACCGTGACATCATGACCTGAGCCTACGTTGGCTGCTTTACCAACTGAGCCACTCAGGCGCCCCCGAGGTCTCCCCATTTTAAAGAGAACACGAAACAACTGCAGATCCAGTGCCTCCTTAGAGTATCAACTCTGGCTGACCATTAGAACTGGGAAACTTAGCATTAACATGCACGCCTTGGGGGCTCATCCCAAAACCATCGGATGAGAACCTGTGGAGGTGAGGCACTGGAATTTTGAAATAATTTTGAATTTACAGAAAAGTGGCTATCATCATCCAAAGAACCCCCAGGCTCACCAGTTGTTTATACTTTGCCATACTTATATTACCATTTTCTGTCTATGTATGCATACATATACATGCATGTTACACATTCTTTTTTTCTGAATCATTTGAGGTTAAGCTACATACCATATCCACTGATCGTTAAAGTCTTCAGCATGTATCTTAAGAATGAAGAGGCTTCTTATATAGCCCAAGAACATTGTTCAAAATGAGGAACTTTGATAGTGCCATGTATTTATTTATATAAAGACTATATTCAAAGTTTGCTAATTGTCTCAATAATGTCTTTCATAGAATTTTTTCCCATACAGGAGCCAATCTAAGATCATGTGCTGTGTTTAGCTGTCATGCCTCCTTGTTGCTTCCTTGGCCTTTCTTGACACTGCCATTTTTTAAGAATCTGAATCAGTTATTCTGGTGTGTGTCCTTCCTTTTAGGTTTGTCCGATGTTTCCCCATGATTAGATTCAAGTTATGAATTTTGACAGGGATAGTGCATAAGCATATATGATGTGGATCCTTGGTACATCATACCAGGAGGCACGTTATATCAGCTTGTCCCAATATTGGTGATATTAATTCTCAACACTTGGTGAAGGTGGGTCTGCCAGGTTTCTCTAATGCCAAGTTAGCATTTTCCCCTTTGTTTAATGACTAATTTGCAGAGGGATATTTTGGAATTCTAAATATCATATTCCTCATCAAACTTTCACACAATGGTTTTAGCAAGTACTGATGATTTTTGCCTGAGATAATTATTTACTAATATGGTTACAAGATGGTGACTTTTTAATTTCATTAGACTTTCTTGTTTTTAAGTTTATTTATTTATTTGGGGGGGGGGGGTACAGAGAGAGAGAGAGAGAGAGAGAGAATCCCAAGCAGGCTCTGTGATGTCAGCACAGAGCCTGATGTGGAGCTTGAACTCGCCAATTGTGAGATCATGACCTGCACTGAAGTGGGATGCTTAACCAACTGAGCCACCCACGCGCCCCTAATTTCATTATACTTTCTCTGTGTATTAGTTGGTATTCTAATGTAAGGAAAAGCTTCCTCATCTCCCTCATTTGTCAAGGAGTTATAATTCATTACTGTCCTATTAATTTTGACACTTAACTGTCCCAGATTTGCTCAGTGAGACTCCCATCAAGCTATAGCCTATATTCTTTTCCCATGTCCCCATCTTTATTTTCTGGCATAAGATGTTCTAGGCTGATCTACTTTCCTTGCCCCAGGCTTGTGATCAGCCATTTTTCCAAGAAACTTTTTTTTTAAAGTTTATTTATTTTGAGAGACAGAGAAAGCACCAGCAAGGGGAGGGGCAGAGAGAGACGGAGAGAGAGAGAATCCCAAGCAGGCTCTCCACTGTCAGTCTCGGGGCTCAAACTCACAAACTGTGAGATTGTGACCTGAGCCGAAACCAAGAGTCTGACACTTAATCGACCGAGCCACCCAGGCATCCCCACTTCTCCAAGAAACTTAATTCTGTTTAGAGTAAAGTGTACTTAGAAACCAATATCTGGACACTAAGAATGCTCATTACTTCTAGGATTTTCTGTCAATGGCACTGGTACTTTTAGAAAGCTCCCAAGGTGATTCAAATGTGCACCAGTATTGAGAACCATTGTCTATGAAGAAGGCGCCCAACCACCACCTAAGTAGATGGCTCTAGGAAGGGAAGGGAGAGAAGATATTTAGGAGCTGTGGAGTAGTGGACCAACGCAGTATATCTCAAAGCATGGGTAAAGACACATTAGTGGGCCATATAATTCATTTACTTGGTCATGTCTAGCATTAAAAAAATAAAAATAAAAAACAAAACCTCAATAGAACAGGAGGGCATGTACTAGATTATAATATAAAGCTATTTCTTACTGAGTCACAGTCCAAAAAGATTGAGAATTGCTGGTCTAAAAAGTGCTGGGCTTTTTTTCTCCTCTGCTAGATAAGAGTGGGTGTTTCCCCCAAGCCAAACCCTAATCCAGGGAAGGGAAGAGCCAAGAGAACACCTCAAAAAGGTTGAGGGTGGGGTGCCTGGGTGGCTCAGTCGGTTAAGCGTCTCACTTCAGCTCAGGTCAGGATCTTGTGGTTCATGAGTTTGAGCTCTGCATCAGACTCTGTGCTGACAGCTCAGAGCCTGGAGCCTGCTTCGGATTCTGTGACTCCCTCTCTCTTCCCCTCTCCTGCTCACACTCTGTCTCTCTCTCACTCTCTCAAAAATAAATAAAACATTATTATTATTTTTTTTAATTGAGGATATCTCAGTATTTAGTTGAACATTTGCTTTAAGGGCAGATTGACATACAGATCATCCCCCTTGCCTGTCTGAGAAGGTTCAGTGTGACCTGGGTAGACACACTGGGGCAGAGAGAAGGAGAACCACGGAGAGGTCTGCATGTCCACCCATGAGAGTGGGTCAGGTGGACACTGGGAGGCAACTTGAACTATCTTCCTGATGCCTCAACCAAGAGGGCTGGCCACTAGGTAAGGAGATCCCCAATAGCAAAAGGCTGGGAATGGACTGGCAGAGGTGAGATCTGGGGTGGTGGTGGAAGAGGCAGAGACAGATCCAGATCCCCACAGGGGTGTTCTGCCACCTGTTGTTTCCCCCCAGGAAGAACGCATATGAAATACAGGAGTCAGAGAGTCAGCATGGAGATGCCTGCCCAAAGGACACAAGTGGTAGCCTTAGCCGGAGAAGCAGTGGCAGCCAAAAGAGGATCACAACAGACAGTGATCTGTATCTCCCTCCTTCCCACCCGTCCCGCCAGAGGAGAAAGGGATTCTGACAAGAAAAGTGTGGAAGTGTGAAAGATCTAATAGTTCTTTCCCTCACTCCCACCCCCACTGATGAAGGGTGGAGGGGGCTGGGTAAGATTTCAATGGGATGTGAGATTGAAATTTAAACTAGACTGGGCTTTCTGAAATTAGAGCATACAGAAAAGACATGGAATCCACCCAATATGCCATGAAGGGACTGGAAAGACAGATTCAAGAAGGCAGGATTGAAGACAGTTTCTGGGGAGAAGAGAAAGCTTTTGTTTAGACCCCACCATGTTGAGAGTGTTCAATAAATACTATTTCAAGGAGGCCTGGAAGATGAGAAGCAGCTGAGGATGGGTTATCTGGCAGAAAAAAAGAAAGAAAGAAAGTACAGTGTCCTCTGGGTGAGGGAGGTATTGGCATATGGAAAGGACGGAAAAGTCTGGAGGGACTATAGCCTAGTGACAGGGGACAGGCTGGATGGGGAGTTGAGTTGAGAGGACTCAAAATATGGATGGCCTGTAGCCTGCTGAGGTGAGTAGGGTTATTTTTTCATAAATGGTAAAGTATTATGTATTTATTTAAAAGGTTCCAGGGGTGTCTAGATGGCTCAGTCAATTGAGCATCTGACTCTTGATTTTGGCTCAGATCATGATCACAGGGTCATGGGATTGAGCCCCACATTCAGCTCCAAGGTGAGCATGCAGCCTGCTTGGGATTCTTTCTCTCTCACTATCCCTCCCTCTGCCTCTCTCCCTAGCTCATGCTCTCTCTCTCTCTCTCTCTCTAAAATAAAAAAAATTTTTTTTAAAGATTCCAACAGTGCACCTCTCCCTACCTCGTACAAATTCTAAAGGTACCATGTATCATTAATGTATTCTTCCAGGCTGTTTAGACGTCTCCGTGTTTCCATGTATATATTTTTAATATACGGATGAAAACTTACGGTTCTGCTATTTTTTCCGCTTGATTATATATCACAAATCTCCTTCCATGTTGTTGGTTGAATAAATGATACTAAATCCATACCATGCACCTGTTAAACTTCATGATGCTGCTCTTTAGTTGTTGACCAGAATGATGTTCTGAATATGTTCAGTGACAGATTGTAACGATGTAAAATCCTATTTTTAACAAAATATCTATAGACACTCATTTGTACCTGTTTGTACCAGAAAAAGTATAGCAGGATATACACCAAAATATTAACAGTGGTGGGATTTCTGTTTTTTTTCCCTGTTTTGGCTGTTGTTTTTTTTTACTTTCTTTAAAATAAAAAAATATATATATAATGTATAATAAAAATAATAAAAAATAAAAAAATATTTTTATAAAAATACATTAAGTCAATTCTAGACCCACATGGGGCTTGCACTCAACCTCAACCGAGATTAAGAGTCGCAGACTTTACTGACTGGGCCAGCCAGGTGCCCCTTGGTTGTTGTTTTTCTAATTTTCCTATTGTAAATAAATAGTAAATTAAAGTTTTATAACAAAAAATGTGGAAAGTAAATAGGATGAAATGGTGCTGCTATTCTTTGTTCTTTGTGTGTATGTGTGTGTGTGCACGCGCGCACACAAATGTGTGTGTGTAATTTCTCACAAAAGGGGAGAGAACAAGCATAAAGCATCATTTCAGTTCAGACACACAATCAACAACTTAAAAAAAAAAAGCCACCCATCACACTGATGGACACTGTATTTCCAAAATGAGGGGTTATCCTTGATGTCTTATAGCTTGAACAAAAAAGACATGCAGACACAAGATGACCCTGAATTTGTCCCTGAGTGAGGCAAATAGCCATATAAATTATATCACATCACCTCTGGCATTCTAGAGCAGAATCTTAATATGCAGCCACTTCCCCCCAACACAGACTGAGTTCCCTGCAGACACAAGGACCCCATAAGAACCCAGAGGGCTTCTTTCTGAGTCTGGGCTAAGACTCAGGTTTTTCCTAAATAAACTAAGGACTGTGAATCAAACAACTAACCTTTCTGTTCTTGTTTGGCCCAGAAAATCTTGACTTGCTGGTGAATGTGGTTGTCTTCACGCAGTTTCTTCTGCCACTGACGCAATTCTTGAATCTCAGGATCACACCGAACCTGGAAAATGCCCACAAAGCTTTAGTTTCTTTCCTACAACTTCTATACATTAGCTTGTTAACTCTGCATGGGAAATCCTTTACAAACCAACTGGATATGCTTTAGGTTCTAAGTGAATCAGTGTTTTAAAGGATTTATCTAAACTCCTACAGCTTATGTAGTATTTGAGTGTAAATGACGTTGTGTGAAGATTTGCTATACTAATGGTAGGTTGAGAACATTCTAGATCTGTGCTCTTCAGCAGAAATACAAAGTAGCCTCATGTGAAATTTTACATTTCCTTGCAGTTCCATTTTAAAAAGTAAAAATAAGTTAGTGAGATTATTTTTAAGAACATATTTTATTTTGGGGCATCTGGGTGGCTCAGGTTAAGCGTCCAACTCTTGATTTCAGCTCAGGTCATAATCTCACCATTCGTGGGTTCGAGCCCCATGTTGGGCTCTGCGCTGACAGTGGCAGAGCCTGCTTGGGATTCTCTCTCCCTCTCTCTCTGCCTCTCCCCGACTCACACTCCCTGTCTCTCCCAAAACAAATAAACTTAAAAAAAGAATATATTTTATTTAACCTCAAAGATCTAAAATATTATTTCAACATGTAATCAATACAAAAATTATTTATGAAATATTTTACTCTCCATTTTCCATACAGTCTTCAACATCTAGTGTGTATTTTACAGTGACATCACAGCCCAATGTGGGCTAAACACATTCCAAGTGCTCAATAATCACACACGACTGGTGGCCAGTATATCGGTTCTAGAGGAATCACAGTCAATGTATTAGTTTAATACCAATTGACTAAGCGTCTACTGCAGACTGGGCTTTGTGCTATACCTTGGCAATAAACAGATTACTGATGATAATTTTAATTAAGTTTTAGTTTTATTATTCTGTAGCTCATATTTATTGAGCACTTAGGTGCCAGGCATTGTTTAAGTCTTTTACAAGACGTAACCATCAAAACAACCCAATGAGGCAAGAATGATTATGCCCATTTTACGGATGAGGAAACTCAATTGAAGCAGCTTGCTGAGTCACAGATCTAGGAAATGGTTTTGAGATTTCCAGCTGCTCTTGAGGGGCTGAGAATCTAGTAGGAGACATAGAGTACAGGAATAAGATCACCAAGGTGTGGTAAGAATAAGGATATCAGTGAGTACAAGGGAATACAGAAGGGGAACTGAGCTCAGCCTGGAGCAGTCAGGAAACACGTCATGGAGGAGATGACTCCTGGAGTGAGCTTTGAAGCATAAACTAGAGTTAGTCATGGAGAGAGAGTGGGTAGAGTGTCATGGTGGTCCAGTTCTGCCTTACTGTGATCATGTCACAAAGCCAGGGCCCACCCTCCTGCTTTTTCAAACAAACACTGGATCTTGAAACTTCCTGCTCTGGTCATTGGGATATAGGCTTCCTGGATGAGTTTCCAAAGGGTCCTGTTGTCTTCTAGAAGCCTCACATGGCTTTTTAGAACTAGGAACCTTAGGGAGCAATGTTGGGGTCAGGATGATCTCAGTCCCTTCCCTTCCAGAAAGATCCTTGGTTCTTTATGCAGACTGATCCCATGCACATCAGAGCACTACTCACCAAGAGGCATTTGGAGAAATGGCCTTAACAAACTCAAGAAAAATAAAGTCCTTCCTATTACTTCATTTCTCAGAGCATGGGGTGCCTTAGTTATCTTAAGAAAACTACTCAAGTGATTTTTTTTCCCAAGATAAAAAGACTGTTTTCTTCTGAACTTCTAAATGGCAGCCACTCTTGTTTAAAGAAAAAAATATATATACAAATTATCTATAAATGTATATTTTTAAAATTATATATACAAAGTACTATGTATGCAAATACTTTATATGTATATCTTGTGTACACATGTATGTATAGTACTTTGTATATAATGTATACACATATACCAGCATAAAGTTATGCAAATTTCAGAGAGTAAAATGGCCCTTTATTAATGTCATAGAACATAAAGTAATTCCCCAAATCTTTTAAATTACAAACAAATGTTTTTAGTGTTTCCTAAAGTCTTATGTTCAAAAGATTAGGTACCTTCAACATCTCTGTTCTGAGGCTAAGCAAACTCAAACCCTCATGGGCAGCTAAAAAGGAGGTTATCCACATCTTTTCCAGGAACTTCTGTTTATCTGGATCCAAGCACGCAGAAACCCCCACATTTCTGCACCATGACAACTAATACTCATAATGCTAATAAAGATGAAAGATCTTCTGAACCACTAAACAAAGGTTAACACTAATTATAATCATCAAGTTGACTAGATTTTATTGTAGTCAAATTCTTTCTGTAAAACTGATGTATTCGTATAGTTTGGAAGAAGACACAGAGTGTGGGTTCCTCTAGGAAGGAAGTAAAATGGGGGAGGGAGCTTTAGCTTTTTACTCCATATTTTTCTGGACTGGATTTTTTGGGACCTTTACAAAGAGCATATATTGTTTTAGGAATACAAGCGTTTAAATTTTAAATTAACAGGCTGCTGAGAGGCAAACAAGAGTTCTTTAACTTAAGAATAACTGATAAATTTCCCTGACAATCCCCTGAACTCTCAATTACCTTAATATTTAACAAACAGAAACACCATTTCCTTCATCATTCCAGAAGGCTACAGATGTTCTCAGGATTCTGCTGACCAGTTTAGGGTGATTTTCCTCTGTCTGGCCAGAGACCCTTCATGTTTTTCTTGATTTCCTTCATTTGGAAAGCAAGGACTGCTATTTACTAAAGTGGAGCATGGCAGCCTTGTTAGTTAACTTCTCATTACCAGGAAAGCCTGGATCCCCAGAGAAGGCTTTTGTGAGCCCTGGGGAAAGCACACACCCATTGAACAGGGCTAATCCCGGTCATTATAGTCATGATTACGGAATCAATTTAAATGGCAGTGGCTGTGCCAATCAGCAAATACCGTAGAGTGCAGTGTAATGTTTAACACATCAACAGTTTCATTGCTTTTAAAAAAAGAAGTCTCCTTTACGAGTGGCTTCCTACTTTTACTTGTTTAAATTACCACATGGAGTCCATCTGCTCTTCCAAGATACGCACACCGAGTAATACACACATTATTGTGTACTTGACTTTGGGTAAGCCAAGAAAGAAAACTCCATTAAGTGGAAGTGAATTTTAAAAAAAAAAAAATGCCCATGAACCAATCAAATTCTCCTAATTATCTATTACTCTGATGAAAGCCAAAACAGGACACCATATTGGTTAAGAAATCCAACTCTCTATCGGAAAGACTGAAGTTGAATCTCAGCTCTGCAAATGACAAGCTGAGGAACCTATGAGCAAGTTACTTAAACTGTCTGAGCCTTGATTTCCTCTCCTGTAAAATGGAGGTAGTATACATATTTCCTTCATTGCACTGGTGTGAAAACAAGATGAGATATTGTCTGGTCCATAGTAAGCCCTCCCTGTTTTAGCAATTTCTTACATCAACTAATAAAGTAGTAAGAATAATCTGAGTTCAGCTCTGGGGTTGTATCCTACAACCACTGGTAGGACACGGAGCCAACTGGCTGAAGAGCCAGTGATTCATAAAATTGGAAGTGAGGTCTCTTCCCAAGGGCTTACAGTTTATTGAATACATAAATGATCTTACAATTATATAACTGTAGGCATTACTCAACCAGTAGAGAGATATCAGGGCTGTAGGATGGTGACTGCAGGCAGGGAAGAAGAGAGGGGCCCTATGGCTGGGACTTGGAAATTACCCTTCATACTTCTGAATTCCTCTTAGCTCAGTTGTTTTCTTTGCTTCTTGGCAAAACAGACAATAACATAGCAACGCCTATTTTCTCTGGAGGATTCCTTGGGGTTTTTCTAGTTGCTTTGGAGGAAGAAACTTTCAGTATAGTACAGTTCCTGGAAAGATGCTGGAGAAACAACACAACGGTCAGCACTTCAGTCGTGTTGGCAAGAGTCAGCCTCCAACTGGGTGTGAGACACCTCAGAAGGTCCTTACCACATCCTTGCCATGACTTGATGTACTAACGATAATACTGAAGGATTTTATACTCGGGAAAAGTGGATTTCAACAAGAAGGAAATATATGTTTGCAAATTCTCTTGCAAATACCTAATGAAATATTCACAGTTCCCAACTCTCTCATACGTTCCATTTTCTCTCTGCAAGTAAGCTTCATTTCTTCATTTCTTCTTTATTTCTTCTCAGATCTTTGGCAAAATGAAACAAAAGTTGGTTTCTCATTCTGGTAGTTATGAGTGTTCCATATTGTTTTTAGGAACAAATTATAAAAACCTGTAGATATAACATATTTCCTGGTATTGTGGAAGTGTCCCAGACATTCATCCGTACTAAGATAGTATGCCTCTTAGAAGTTGCTGGGGGCTTTCAGGGAGGAGCAGAAATGTGTTCTAGAGAAATATATACTTTTTTAAATTTTTAAGAGAGAGAGCGTGCAAGCAGGGGAGGGGGCAGAGGAAGAAAGAGAGAGAGAGAGAGAGAGAGAGAGAGAGAGAGAGAGAATATTAAGCAGGTTCCACACTAAGTGTGGAGCCTGATGTGGAGCTCAATCCCACAACCCTGGGATCATGACCAGAGCCGAAATCAAGAGTTGGACACTCAACCTACTGAGCCAACCAGGTGGTCCTAGGAAAATATTTTTTAAACAGTGGATTCAGCACTTTAGCGAGTAGTAAATTCACTTTAGTGGGTTATGAATAACATTTTAAAAAGTCTAATCCAATAGAAAATACCAGATATTCTTTTATCATTAAGGACCCACTTTATCTCTGAAAATGTTTTTTTCTTTCAAAGTCTATTTTATCTGATGTTAAGAATGCAAGATCACTTTCCTTTTGGTTGGTATTTGTGCCGTATATCTTTTTCATCTCTTTACTTTCAACTATTCTGGATCATTTTGTGTTACCTGTACCTCTAGCATAGAGGCAGATTTCTTTTTAATCCAATCTGAAAAATCAGAGTTTATTCTATTTACACTTATTGTGATCAGTAATATTTTATTA